CACACACAGACTTGCACACCTTTTTGGGGGTTCGATGTTCACCGTGACGTGGCAGGCGTGGCATGTGGGCACACCGTGCACAACAAGGAGGAACCGCCAGAGGAGGAGGACACTTGCCCATTCGCGCCCAGATCGTATGGATGTCCCAGGCGGTTTGCCTGTTTGGTGGCTCAAACATCTTTTGAGAGCACCATGGTCACAGCGATGCAGCGGGCGCGGCACTTGGGCACCCCAATGTGGAGCCGCCTGGAAGGGGGGCACTTCCCTTTTCGCGCCCAGATTGCAGGAATGCCTCAGGGAGTTTGCCTGTTTGGTGGCTCGGACTCCGTTCTTTTGAGGGTCCCATGGCCACAGAGATCCATAGCAGGCGTGGAACGTTGGCCCTGCACGGAGGAGCTGCTGGATTGGGAGACGCTTGCCCGTTCGCGCCCTGAGTATGGGGATGAAGTTTTTGTTTGTTGAGAGCTCCATGATCACCGCGATCTAGAAGGCGTGGGACGTAGGCACCCCAAGGAGGTGCCGCTATGACAGGGGGTGGGGCTTGCCCGTTCGCACCCACTTTGTGGGGGTCACAGCCATGTGTTGTTGAGAGCCTTATGCTCACCGTGATATACGTGATATATCAGGCGTGGCAGTTGGGCACTCCAAGAGTAGCCGCCTCGGCGGGGGGCATTGCCAATTCGCGTTCTGATTGTTTGGCAAGTCTCACGCGGTTTGTCTGTTTCGTGGCCCAGCCCTTTCCCTTTTGAGAGCCCCATGATCATCGCGATGTTGCAGGCGTGGCACTTGGGCAAACCAAAGAGGAGCCGCCAAGGGATAGGGCACTTGCCCGTTCGCGCCCAGATTGTGAGCATGTTTCAGGGAGGTGTCCTGTTTGATGGCCCAGGCTTCTTTCGAGATCCTTATGATCACAGCAGGCGTAGCGTTTGGGCACCCCGAAGATGAGCCGCCACGGGGTACGTCATTTGCCCGTTCGCGCCCAGATTCTGGGGATATATCAAGTGGGTTGCCTGTTTGGTGGCCCCGCCTCTTCTCTTTCGAGAGCCACATGGTCACAGCGACATAGCTGGCGTGGTGTTTGGGCACCCCAAAGTGGAGCCGCCATGGAGGGCCGCACATGCCCGTTCGCACACATATTGCGGGGACGTCTCAGGCGGTGCACCTGTTCAGTGGCTCGGACTCCTCTCGTTCGAGAGCCCTATGGTCACTGCGACACAGCTGGCAAAGTGTTTGGGCACCCGAAGGAGGAGACGCCATGGAGTGGGGCACATGCCCGTTCGCGCCCAGGTTGTGGGGGAGTCACAGGCGGTTTGCTTGGTTGGTGTCCCAGACTCTTTTCTTCTGGGAGCCCCATGATCACCGTAATGTAGCAAGCGTCGCATGTGAGCACCCCACTGGGGAGGTGCCACAGAGCGCGCAGTGGCCGCAAGCCCACAGTCTCTCATTCATTATGCACATATGGAAATCTCTGCGTCGAATAGCTGCCTCCGCCCCCATGTGTCGGCTGCACGTCGGAGTGGCCTTTCGCTGGAGTGACAGATGGTGCGCGGCGTTCGTGGCGCGCGGGGGGTGCTGGGGGCGGGGGGTGCAAACCCAACCACGCAGGTCGCTACTGCCGCATCGCAGGCAGCTGTCGGCAAACCGCGCACCAAAGAAAACTCTTGCCCGGGGGCACCCATGCCCGATGGCTTCATCAGTTTGGCTGGTTTTTGGGGAGCTGCTGGAGGGCCCCACGTTTTCGCTACTGCAGGCCCCGGCTCGCCTTGCCACGCGAGAAGCCTTTGATGGGGCCACATGGATTTTTCGAGCTTGGAGTTTATCTAGTCCCGCCATCCGCCACCGTGCTTGCGTCGTTGTACCTCTGTGGGGCTTCCGGGGTCTCTTGGAGACCTCGTGGGGCCTCGTGAGGACCCCTGGGGAGTCTCTGCGGGCATTTTGAGGTCCTGGATGCCGTCTAGGAGTCATCTTTGGGCGGAAGGCTCCAACTACAGGTTAGTGTCGTCGTCGTGGGGGCCTCTTGGGCCGTCTTGGGTGCTCTCAAGACTGACAAGCCGAGCATACGAAACTCATCCGACCAGCTAAACCGTTTCCAAAGATTTGGGCCTCTTGGGCTGGCCACCAGAGACTCCAAGACGGCCCCCAGGAGGCCCCCGAGAGAACGCCCGCACGGACCCCTGAGACCAAGATTGGAGTATGTTTGAAGTTTGGACCACCAGTCACGCTGACGAGGAGGAGGAGGAGGAGGAGGAGAAGGACGAGGACGAGGAGGAGGAGGAGGACGAGGACGAGGACGAGGAGGCGCAGCAGGAGGAGGAGGAGGAGGAGGAGGGGGAGACCCCTTCTCCTGATGCTCCTCCTCCTCCTCCTCGTCCTCGTCCTCCGCCTCCTTCTCCTCCTCTTCCTCCTCATCATCAGCAGCATCCTCATCATCTTCGTCATCACTATCACCATCACCATCACCACCCTCATCACCAGCATCATCAGCATCACTCCGTAGGCATTTTGGCACAAGCCTTCGGGCCAGCTTCCATCGGGCGGTTGGTGCGGTTTGTGATGGCGCGGGGGGCGGCCCCCTCGCGGGAGGCCGGTGGCGGCGGCGATGCGTGCAGCTTGAGCGCGGCACGGCGGCAGCCCGTTTGTCGGGGGACGTGCTTGTCCACGACCTGCAGCGGGCCGTGCGCTTCTGGCGGAACAGCTACGAGAAGTTGGTGGAGTCGCTAGGGGACCCCGGCACGGCGGAACGCCTGGCGGTGGTGGCGGTGCATGTGAAGGACACGGTGCACGGCAGGGCCATCGAGTCGCCCGTCGACGCGTTGCGGGGAAACGTTGCGCTCCACGCGGCGTTGGCGCCCTGGCCGTTGGGGACGGCGACGGCGCGCTCGCTACGCCGAGCCCAGAAAGGGGCCTAGGCATGTGGCGCGTTCCGCGCTGTCGGCGGTTGGCCTCGCCGCGTGCGGGGTGAACGACGCGGTGCGCGACGGCGAGAACGGGGCGGATCTGGACGGCCACGGCGAGGTGGAGCAGAGTTGCGCGACCAACCCCTTGCTGGCGGCGCCACCCTTCCCCGCGCTTGACGGGGAGTGAGTTCGTCGGCGCGATCGCGACGCACGAGCTCGGGGAGAAGCAGGGCGCGGCTGGCACGCAGTGGCAGTTGCGAGAAGGAGCTGGCGGTGAAGCGGAGCCCACGCGTGATCAGCTACAGTTCGGGCATCAACGCGGCGCCAGGCGACGTTGAGCGCCCGTGCTGAGATCGACGCGGGGTGGTTGGCGGGCGGCACCCGTGGTGGCGGCGCCCGCCCGCGGGATAATAGGCCGAGTCCCCGCCCGACTCGGTCATCCCGCGCGCGGGCGCGGGCGCGGGCGTCGCTGCCGCGGTGGCTAGCGCGCGGCCCGAGGAGGCTTTTGCGGGCGCGATCGAGCACGAGGGCTGGCGCGATCGAGCACGAGGGGGAGGACGGCGTGGAGGCGGACGGCGACTCCGACGCGCCACCCCCCCTGCAAACTTGCACGGTCGACCTCTGGGAGCGCCTGGAGGACGCCGCGTAGGGCATCGAGACTGCCGCGAAGTGGGGCGGCGCCCGCGCGACCAAGCGCGTTACGGTCACGTGCCGCATCTCGCAGCTGGAGGCCCTGTGCGCGGAGGCCAATCGGGCGCAGGCCGACGACGACGCAAACGAGCAGGAGGCCGAGCAGGAGCGTTTCGAGAATGGGGAGGCGCTCGCGTCGGTTTGGTTTCACACCGACGCGCTTGAGTGAAGGCCAGGGGGTTCACGGGTCGCCCATCGGGCTGCTGAGCGGGCGTGCGCGCGCCATCCAGATCCCTTGCTTTTAGCGCTGAAAGAAATGCGTAGAGGTGCCCTGTCCTCGCCGGCGCAGCGTGCCCGCGGGCGCGTGGGAGGGGCGTCGGTCTGTGCAGCCTCTGGCGGCGAGCGCTCGCGGTAATTATTGCGACGGATCATTTTTGGAGAGCGCGAACACCAGCAGCATCAGCAGCGGCAGCGGCATCGGCATCGACTTCAACTTCAGCAGCGTCATCGTCAGCATCACCACCATCGCCGGCAACATCAGCATCAGCGTCAGCGTCAGCGTCGGCATCCTCATCATCTGCAGCATCATCATCATCATCATCAACATCATCAGCGGCATATGCCTATTCCTTTAAATTCCTCCTCATCCCCCCACCAAACACGAATGAACCAAGCGCGACCCCAGTTCGGGGAAAGCTGATGTCGAGCATCCTCTCGAGCGCTCGAGAAAATCCGAAAGCATTTTGCAGTATCTTATTCGGAGGACGGGCTGACTTCTGTGCATATTTCTCCCTGGCGGATTTTTTCGGTGTCCGCGCGGGGGCTCTTGGCCGCAGCCACCTGCTAGGTGGCCTTACGAGCCGATTCGATTGCAAGGCAATCCTGTACACGAACTTCCCTGGCACACGGGGCGGCGGATGGAAGACCGGCACAATTTCACGACGACGATGTCGAGGACGACGACGATGACACGGAGGGCGGTGGGGAGCGAGGCAGGGGCAGGAGCCAGGCGGAGGATTGAGACGAGGAGCGGGGAAGGGCTGGGGCGGCCAAGCGTACGCAAAACAGATGCAGCTCAGAGATAGGGGTCCTCGGCGCCCACCTCGTGACGCCCAGGGGCCAGGCGCGCTCGGTTGCCAGAGCCGCGACCGGACGGTCGAGTTTGACTAGCAGGTCGACCCTGCCAAATCAAGGGCACCGTCGTGTGCGACCTATGTCTTCTACATTCCTATGGCAACGTGGCCCTCGCAAGGGTCTTCTGTCCTCTCGCGTGTTCCTTCCAATCAAGCTCGACTGCAGGTCGACCTAGGTGGATGTTCAAGGCGAGGCCAAGGAGAGAAAGGGGGATGGGGGATGGGGGGCGACGGCGGGCATGCAACAGATCGCGCAAGTGTGAGGGACCCCCCCGCTGGAGTCTGGCAGTGGAAGGGGGGGAAAGGGCGGCCCCGGTCGGGTGCCCCTGCCGCCCCCCAGGAGCATTGGTCGGTCCAGGCCAGGACCGAGGCGCAGGCGGAGGAGATGCGAAGGCTTTCCGCTTGCGGTGCCGCCTGCGCGCTTCTCCCCCTCCGAGTCCTCCTCCTCCCGAGTTGCGCGTCGATGCTGGCAACAGCAATTTGTCATGGCCCCAACTCTCACCCAGCAGTGGTGCGTCAGCAGAGCTGGAAACAGCAGCTGTCCAGGTCTTGCCTTGCCTTGCCTTGCCTTGCCTTGCCTTGCCTTGCCTTGCCTTGCCTTGCCTTGCCTTGCCTTGCCTTGCCTTGCCTTGCCTCCTCCTCCTCGTCCTCCTCCTCCTCCTTCTCCTCTTCCTCCTCCTCCTCTCCTCATTGTCCTAATCTTCCTCATCCCCCTCTCTCCACCAGTGAGGGGTGGCTAGAGGCAGGCCCCCTCTGCCCCAAGCAGCGTCCTCTTCTCTCCACAATTGCACCATATGAGTTCTACTCTCCTTTCTCCCCTGGTGGCGTCTAGGAATCATTCGGCCCCCCTCCGCGTAATGGTGTTTTACATAGGATTCCCGGGAGTTGGGTTTCCAAAGTGCAGCTTTCGTTGAAGCGCTGGCCTCATTTCCGCGCTTCCGCTCGTTTCGAATCGTGCTCCCCTTGCAGCGATGGCATTTTTATTTCCAGCGCCATGCCACGACATGACTTTCGGTCCTTCCAAATAGGCCTCAACATCTAGAAAATCCCCCCTCCGAAAAAAACATGGGAAGTGATTACACATTCGGTGTCGGTTCGTTGATTGTTGGGGCCGCAGAAGCCTCCCCCCCCCACTTTGGGGCGTCGCGCCACGCCATGCTATGTCAGGCTACTCGTCCTCATTTCCGCGTTTCCGCGCTTGTGTTTTCCCTCTCCAAAATGCTGCTCTCGCTGAAGCGCTGGCCTCAGGTTCGGGCTACCGCTCGTTCCGAATCGTGCTCCCATTGCAGCGCTGGCGTCATTATTTCCAGTACCATGCCACGGCATGTGTTCGGTCCTTTCAAATAGGCCCCAAAATCTAGAAAATGCCCCGCAGAGAAAAAACATCGGAAGTGATTACGCATTCGGTGCCGTTTCGTTGATTGTTGGGGCGCAGAAGCCCCCACCATTTTGGGGCGTCGCCACGTCATGCTATGCCATGCTACGCGATGATCTTCAACACCATGCTATACCGTGTAATGCTATGCCATGTTGCGACATCCGATTGTGCGAATAGAGAAGAGATATTCGCCATGGTAACGGATGGGAGGGAGGGGTAGGACGTCAGATATGCGCGAGCGCACTTAGCTTGACCCTTCCCCTCCCCCAACCCCCTTGCCCTCGTCCTCCTTCCCCTCATGTCGTGGAAGCGGTGGCAGAAGCAGCCCCTACGTCGTGTCGTGTCCCGCTGCCGCCACCTTCTTCTTCCCCTCTCTTCTCCTACCTCTGCTGGGTATGGGTACAGAATTGGGCATCGATGATCAGCTGCAACAACGGATATCCCAATCAGGATCCGCCACCTCCCAGTGGCCAATTAGCGTCCCCACTCCCAGGAGGCCAAACTTGCTCCAAAACCTGTTTGCAAAATCAAGGATTTGTGCCTTTTCGCTGAGACCTTCTTGGACGCTCCAATCGGTCGCGGCCCCCCTGTCCATGTCCAGGGGAGGGGGCAGGAAAAGGGGTACACCCCCTCCCGAAGGGGAAGAAGGGTGGTTAGACGAGGAAACGCCCTAAACCACTCACGCCCAGAGGGCTGGTGGGAGATTCCCTCGACGTCTGCCGAGCACAATGGTTAATTTCCGCAGAGGCCCGGGCCACCACCCCCCGCATCCTGATTAGCATGCATGGCGTGCTGGGACAGCCAGTTTGGACACGCGATTGTTTCCATGGTCCGCATCAACCTACCAAGGTGCCAGCCTTGAGGATCAATCCAGTTTTTGAGGGCACACTCCAAATATTGCCATATTGTGACTGATGAGGGCCTGCCAATCTTCGGGACAGGGATGAGCACGGGGATGGTTATGGGATGCATGACCCCACCCGCATCCGCTTCATTCTGACGAGTAAAGAACTACATGAAGATGATTATTCGGAGGACCCCGAGAGTTTCTTGATTCCGCGCTGACACCCCTCCCCAGAGCCCCGTCCCCACGCGCTCCGTGCGCGCCGGTGGTGCTGCCAGAGGTGCCGCCCAGGGTGGTCCAGCGCCGACCCGGGAGGTCCGCCCAGGCCTCCGAAAGTGCATGTTCATCAAGCATAATACAACCCCTAACCCTGAAATACAGTGAGTTCGTGGCCTAACTGAGGTCCTCGGTCTTTAGGGTTATCCCTAAACATGTGGGTGGTTCCGTCTGAGACATCTAGAACAGAGGACACCCTATGCCCAATGTGTTTGGCCCTTCGGACTTGGCTCCCCTCCCAAAGGATCAGGGGTACTTTTATTGTTTATCCTCCCCCTCCGGAGCGCCTCCGCCGCCCTGCTCCCCTCTTTGCCCCTCCAGCTAGGGCTCCCTCGGAAATCCTGTTCCTGCAGCGTTCCATCCCAGGTCGAGCTGCGGCTCTCCGCGCCCAGTCCTCTCAGCCCCATGCTGAGGAGGGGGAAGGGGAGGAGGGGATGATGGGCGAGGGGTAAGGTCGAGGAGGGCGGCGAGGGGATGAGTTGGTGGTGATGATGATGACGATGGTGGTGGTGGGGGTGATGATGGTGACGATGATGATGCTGATAATGATGATGATGATGTTGATGATGATGATGATGATGCTGATGCTGATGCTGATGATGATGATGATGATTATGATGGTGATAATGACGATGATGACGATGATGATGGTGATCATGACGGTGATGATGATGGTGGCGATGGTGGTGATGGTAATGACGGTGATGATGGTGGTGGTGATGATGATTATGATGATACGTATGATCATGATCATGATCATGATGATGATGACGATGATGACGAGTATGATGATGATGATGGTGGTGGTGGTGATGGTGATGGTGATGGTGATGGCGATGGTGGTGATGATGATCATGGTATTAATGGTCATGATGGAAGCGGTGGTGATTATGGTGATGATGATGTTGATGATGATGCTGCTCATGATGATGCTGATGCTGATGCTGATTATGCTGATGATGCTGATGATGATGCTGATGATGATGATGATGATGACGATGCTGATGATGCTGATGATGGTGTTGATGACGATGGTGCCAGAGGTGGTGAAGGGGGGCGCAGGGGGAACAGGCCTCTACGGCTTCGTTTCCTTCTCTATGGTCTACCGTTTTGTCTTTCCCACGATCCCTCGGATCCGTCGCGCGCTCGTGGCCATCCATCTTGCTTGTGTTTGTTTGTAGTGGTTTCTTCCTTCTGGGATTCTAAGAAGTTTCTTGGGCCATCCAGGAGGTCTCTGGGGCCTCATGAGAGGCGCCACGGGCCTTCGGAGAACCTCCCCTGGGCCTCCTGAATTATTTGTTGGGATTGTTGGGACGCGTCTTCGGCTTCTGGCAAGAACTGTCCCGCTTCCCGAGAGGCTTTTTCTGCTTTCTGGAGAGGGTCCCTGGGGTTCCCGTGCCTTGGGCCCCACAGAGGATTCTTCGGCCTCCTGAGGGGCTCATTATGGCCTTCTGGGAGATGCCTTCCCGTTGATGAGCTTATTGAGCTATCCGAGGGTGCCTCTTGGGCGTCCTCAGAAGGGCTCTGGGTCTGCTGACGGGGCTCCTGGGCCTCCTGAGAGGCCTCGCGGGTCTCCAAACAAGCCTTTCAGGTCTCGGGAAAAGTCGAAAAGTCTCCAGGGCTTCAGAGAGACCCCCTGCGAGAGTGATCCCATACAACCATAAGTTTTCATGTTCGCCCATATATCGTTGGACAGGGGTTCCAGTTTTGCGATACAATCGTGAACGTATGAACCTTTACCCTACAATATAATGTGCGGTTCAAGTATAGGTTTGGGCTTTAGGTGGCCCAGGTGGGTTTCCCGAGGGCCCCCTTGGACCCTCCCGAAGAGCCTCCTGGGCCTCCTTGGGATTTCCTGGGGGAGAACCTTGAAACTCCTGAGATGCCTCCTGGGCTTCCTGAACAGCCCCCCCAGGACCCTCGGGTTTCCTGCGAGGGTTTCGGACATCCCGGCAGACCTCTTGGACCTCCTGAGGGGCAGCTTGGACCTCGTGAGAGGCTTCGCTCGCCCCGGAACATGGTTTCCGGGGGACGTTTTCGGCATCTTTGGGGGCCCCCCTGGGAATTCTAGATTGCTCCGGCGGCCGTGTCGGGCCATTCGGGCTTGTGCTTGTGTCCGAGAGGCTCGTCGAAAGCAGTCAGGGCACGGCCGCGATAGCCACGCAATGATCATTGGCCTCCTTGGGGGAGAGCCAGGGGTCATCTCGTAGGCAACCCAAGGCTTCTCGGGCCCGTGCTACGTTCCGTCGCCAATGGTCATCTTGCGCAACGTCGGCAGCCATACTGTGATCGCCTGGGGCCGCGTTGAACCCCGTAGTGGCTCGCGGACTGTCGGCCAAGGTGTTCTAGGACGGGTGAGACAAACATTGCGCGTCGTAACCGTTGCGCCACCAATGGCCACAACGTCGACGGGGCCACGCGCAGGAGCAAAACTGAAGAGTAGCAGCGGCAACGTAGCAAGAAGGCGAAGCCCCCAGGAGTTCACGCAGCAAACATCGTTGAAGCTTTTGCGAAGTCGGCTGCGATGGGTCTGTTAGCCTGGCCAGTGGCGATTGGTCGAGCACTGCCAGCGCCTTTTTGCAAATGGTCGCTGGCGTTGGCGGCAATGCTGTTGGTCTGCTGATAATGTCGGTGAGCGCAGCACATTGAATACTTACAAGAAGAGTATATGTAGGTCCGGGGTCGATGCTACCCACCAATCAGCAGCTGGCGATTTGCAGCTCAGCAGGTCCTTGCAGTTCTGCTGTATGTTTTGCAGCCCTCGGCAGCTTTGCAGCCGGCAGACGTGCATTTACACCTGAACAGCCCCATGCAGTAGTGCAGGTCGATTTGCTGCCTCTGGCAGCTTTGCAGCTGGCAGACCTGCAGCTCTTCTTTCGGCAGCCCAGCGCGGCAGTACAACAGCATTTTTATACAGCGAGCTGGTCGCTGGCCCGGGCGCCCGAGCCTCCCCGCATCCCGTTGGCGCCGCACCTGCGGCAAAAAAGCGTCACCCACGGCTTTTTGACGGACGAACGCCTGGATGCCGCCCGCTTCGGTGGGTTCGCTCGCCGCTTCTCCCGTGCGGGTTCGAGTTGGTCTATGCTTTCTGCGCTTGCAGCCTCTGCCTCAGCCTCTGGGCGTGGCCGAGACGCCGCTCCGCGCCCATTGCCAGGCTGCCTCAGCACAGGCTTGCCGCGCTGGCCGACGAAGGTCTTCGTGCAGTTAGTTCCTTTTTTCCCCGCCTTCCGCGGCCGCCCTCGTGCCCCCTTGTCTTTTGTTGCAGCTAGACAACTTGATGTGCCCGAGCATGGCCTCGTAGAGCGCACGTACGGTTCGCTTCTGCCGCGCTGCGACGTACAATGTGTGCGATGATGGTGGTTCGGGGGACGATGGTAACGGCAGTGATTGTGACGATGATGTTGCTGATTATGATGGTGAGTGAGTGAAGGTGATGCTGACCGTGGTACAGATGACTGGTGATGGATTTGACGACGACTATGGTGTTGATGATGGCATCGTTGTGTTGATGGCGGGTATGGTGATGGTGGTGATGGTGAGGAAGAAGTGGGGGAAGAGACGGGATCGTGTGTTCGGGGTGTACAAATAAAGCAAGAAACCCACCTGGGATGTGTCAAAACAGCACGACATCAGTGCGTTCCGTGTCAATATGGACATTTTGTCGCCCATGTTGGAACATGCGTTGCAGGAAAGGGTCGGTGCGCACATCCAGCGCGAAAGGCTGACATGCCGCTTTTACCTCGGCGCCGCGCTCAGTTTCTCAGAAAGCTACCGTTCGGGCGCGGCGCACATGTTTTTCGCACGCCACTTCGTCGACACGCGAGCAAAAGAACATGTCGTTCACGCCTCGGCGCCGCGCAGATTTTGCCTGAAGTTGGCGTCCCCGCCCCGACGCGACGCATATTCTTCACCAACCTGGGGAGGGGGGGCGCGCGCGAGTGGGCGACTTGTGGACTAGTGGGGCCAGCAGTGACGTTGCAGCGTGGCCGCGGCGCATGGTTCGTTCGCCAGAACGCACGGGAGGGAACGACAGCGGCATCTGCACCGCGCGAGAGCTGGCGAAATGCGGATTTCGCCGTCGACGCGCAGGGTGTGAGTGAAATTGACAATGGTGCCAGCGCGAAGCATGCTTCGTCTCCGCCGCGCACATCGGAAGTTTTGGCGTTTCCGCCTTCTGCGTGGCCCGCATAGTTCTGTTATCGCCCAACCGTCGGAAGCGGGGCCGCGCACGAACCCCTTCCGTTTGCGAGGTTGGAGCGCGTTCCAATCTCAATGCCACGTTGTGCCACAAACGATTCTTATGTTATGGGAGGGAAATTGGGAGTAGGCGGGCCCGTGTGACTCGCTCGATTTTGCCAACTAGTGTATAACTTGCATTCTTGTTTCACAGTGTCATCAAATCCCACCCCGTTCCCCCGTTCCTAGTGTGTTTCCTCTGACCATCATATCCCTCCCCCTCCTGTTACTTCCAGTAGGTCTGTATTTCATCTCTCATGCGCCGTTTCCGTTTCCTCTTGATCCTCCTGGTGCTCTCTTCTTTTTCGTGGATTTTGTATACGATCCTCCCCCACTTTTTCATTTTCTCTTTCCGGCAGGTGTTGCATGAGGCACCGGTGAACGTTTTGTTTCACCAGTGCGCCGCGTGCGCGCCACCAGGAGCATGGACATCGAGGTGCTGAACGACGGCGGCTCTGTCCCCAAGCCTGTCATATCTTTCGAGGAGCGCGTCCGTTGCAACACGCGGCTTTTTCCTCCCTCATCACTCCCCCCCTCCTCCCTGGAGCCTCACCCGTCCACAGCTGTTCACTAGGAGTCTTGCTCTCCCCTCCACTTGCTGCTGTCCAGCGCTGCAGCCGCCCCTCCCGCCATTCTGTATCAGAGTTTGTTCAAGAGGCCTGGGCCATCCCGCCGACCCCCCAACGGTGGATGGGGGAATGTAAGGATTTCCGCGCCCTCTATCCCCAATAGGCAGAGGAGGGACAACCTTCCCGACCCCCATGACTTGCGCTTACTAAGCGGCCCTGGGCGTTTACTACGCAGCACTGTCATGCTTGATTCCCTCCATTGGGTTCTTTTACAAAAGGCGTCGCTTGTCGGGCTGCTCATTATGAGGGTGTTATGTCTTCTGCTCTCTGAGCATCCCATCCAGAAACAATGTCCGGACGTACAGTCGGTATGAGATACGTAGAGAAGCGCACAGTGAAATAGCAAGGCCAACAGGACTAAATTTATAGGTGGTTGGATTGGCCGTATCCCAGTTCTTCTGAGGTCCGTCTGGGAGCTTTGATGCGCTATGATTGAAGGCCTTCCTCTTGGGGCCATCCTGGAGGCCAGCAGTCCAAAAAGGGGGGATTCAGAATGAGTGTCTCCCGCCTGGAGGTTGAAACACTGCGTCCCAGCCAGTCTCTGGACGCTCTTGCGACGTTCTCTGGGCCACTCGGGGGCGTCCCTGGGTTCCCGTGGACGATCTTGGGGCCACCTTGAGGCCCCAACGGAAGCGTCGAGCGAGAAACGGCAAATCGCATGGAGGGCACGAGATCGGTGAAGGATGTTGACCTCTCGGGGCATCCTTGGGAAGCTTCGTGGCCACTTTGAGCCTGTCTTTTAAGCCCCTTTGCCGTGTGGGAGCTATTCTGGAGCCGTCTTGGAGACAGTCTACTTGGACATATAGGTGGCGTCCGACAGTGAGCTGGGAGGCCCAGGGGGGTTGGAGATGTGTTGGAAGTTCCTCCCCTCCCCGCCCCCTCGGCACTGTGTACCCTTGGGGAGGGAGAAATGGGGGAAGGGGATTGCAAATCATCTCACAGGCTCTTCACCCTGGCAAGCGGAGGTCGGCGGTGCAGATTCACACAGAATTCCATGAGTTGGTGTCTCTTGCGGTTTGTTTCTGTTCGATCGGAATGTGCTCAGTCTTGGATACATTGTGGTCCCGCTACAGCGTTGGCCACATTTCCTGATCGGCGCTTTGCTTTCGTCGTTCAGGATGAAGCCCTCGCCCCAGCATGCAACGAGTCCGTCCAAGTCGTTCCTTTGCCCCGCCTTCCGCCCATCCCCTCCTCCTCCCCTCGTCCTGCTCCTGCTTTGTTACTCCTCCTTCCTAATCGTCCTGACCTCCTTCCGTTCCCTACTCGTCCGCCTCCTGTTCCTCCTCCTCCTCGTCCTATGCACAGAAGCCGCCCGTTCCGACCGCGCAGCAAACGACGGCTCAAAGTTTACAAGTGTTGTTTAGGTACCAAGGTTCTCTATGGCATCCCAGTCAGCGAATGGACAATTGTGCAATGCAACGTGACTGGATTGTCCACAATATGGGTACGACTCTCCTCTCTCCCCAGGTCTTATCCAAGCGGTGCTTGTTTCTTTCCAACATGTAGTACTTGGCTACGCATGGTAATTATTGACGCTTCGCGTATCCCCACCAGCTCCGTAGCCCTGGCTCAAGCCTTGGCTCAAGGGATCAAGCATTGATCGCCGTGTTAGGGCCTCTACACACTAGTTGCATACTGCATCGTTGGTTCCCCATTGGCCCATTGGTTGCCACTTGGTTGTCTACTTCTTCTGGCCAGCTCAATTTGGTAGGATGGGGGCTGCTTGGAAGTCAGCGTGGATTATTGTCCAGGTGATGGCATTCACGCCCTCGACACACGCTCTCGTTCTCCAACACGACTTGGCGGGGGCCGACGTGCCGGACGAGATCGGCGCCCTTGAGAGGGTGTTCGCGGAGCTCAAGGCCACAACGACGGCCCAAACTGCACGGTGGATCAGAATGATTGCTACATCAGGACCGGCGGGTTCAGTGGAGTGCGTCATCAATGAGATCGCATTTTACTCCGATGCAGGCTTCCTTGCCCAAGTGTCATTGAACGCCGCCATATTCTCGGGGATGGGGCCATCCATTGGTCCGTGTTCTGAATGCAACGGGTTTGAGTGCAGGTCCCCAGACTGCTCGCTTTCCAACATCATGGACGGGAATTGGGCCATGTCGGGTTCGAATGGGTTATATCATTCTTTCTACACCATTGGAACAGCTTGGTACTTCGAGTTTGTGACCGCTTCGGCCGTAGGTGGGATGAAGATGACCACAGCAGCAAACTGGGGCACAGTGTCATTCAAGCTTGAGGCAAGCATTGATGGCATTACCTGGAGGGATTTGACAGTCTCACCAAGTGCAACTACTAAAGGAGCTGCTATCGAATACTTGATCTCTGAGCCTCCCACGGCTTCCCCCACGCCGGCAACGCCGTCACCGACCCCGGCCCCAGCACCGCCGTACGAGGCTGTCCAATATGGTTGTTACTGCAATGACGACCATTGGGATGCTCATTATCCAGACGGAACTGAGAACTGGAACACAAATGACGTCGCAGAGTGTGCAGGTCGTTGCGCTGTCGAACTCGACCCCGTCGATGGTTCGTTGTGCCGTTTTTTCTCCGTCGCATCGGCGGGTGACTGTGTGCTTTCCAAGGGCTGCACCACGTGTACCAGCCACTGGGCCAGCCATACTGCATACGAGATGCTGTGGCCCACGAGCAGTCCGACGAGCAGTCCGACTTCGGCACCCACCACCACGGCATCCAGCACCACTTCGGGAACAAGCACTACCGAGTCGAGCACTACCACGGTGTCTACCAGCAGTGAATCGAGCACGACATCGCGGACAAGCACCTCCGAAACCAGCAGCACCACGGTGTCCACCACGTCAGAGTCTAGCAGCACGTCGCGGACCAGCACCACGGAAACGAGCAGCACCACGGTGTCCACCACGTCGGAGTCGAGTACCACGTCGCGGAGCAGCACTACGGAATCAAGCATTACCACGGGGTCCACCACCACAGAAACGAGCAGCACTACGGGTTCCACGATGATGGATTCGAGCACCACGTCCCGGACAAGCCTTACAGAAACGAGCAGCATCACAGTTTCCACCACCACGGATTCTAGCACGACGTCGCGGTCCAGCATTACGGAAACCAGCAGTACAACAAGGTCTTCCACTACGGAGTCGAGCACGACGTCGAGATCCAGCACGACGGACACCAGTAGCACCACGAGATCTTCTACCACGGAGTCGAGCACCACATCGCGGTCAAGCACTACGGAAACGAGCAGTATCACGGGGTCCACGATCACGGGGACCAGCAGTACCACATGGTCCACGATGACAGGGTCGAGCACGTCATCGCGGACGAGCACTACCGAAACGAGCAGTACCACCGTGTCCACCACCACGAAATCGAGCACGACGTCGCGTACGAGCACTACGGAAACGAGCAGCACCACGGTGTCTACCATTACAGGGACAAGCACGACGTCGCGGACCAGCAAAACAGAAACGAGCAGTACCTCTAGGTTTGTCACAACGGGATCGAGCACCACGTCACGGACTAGCACAACTGAGACGAGCATTACCACGGCGTCCAGCACAACGGAGTCCAGCACAACATCCAGGACAGGTACTACGGGAACAAGCAGTAGCACGGGGTCCACTACCACGGAGACAAGCAGCACGTCGCGCACCAGCAAGACAGAGTCGAGCAGCACCATTGTGTCCACAACGACGGAGACGAGCAGTACCACGGGGTCCACCATCACGGAGTCAAGTACCACGTCGTGGACCAGCACTACGGAAACCAGCAGCACAACGGGATCCACCACTACGGCATCCAGCACCACGTCGCGGACCAGCACCACCGAAACCAGCAGCACCACGGTGTCCACCACTTCAGAGTCTAGCACCACGTCGCGGACCAGCACTTCGGCAACGAGCAGCACTACGAGGTCGACTACCACGGAGTCCAGCACGACGTCGCAGACCAGCACTACGGAAACCAGCAGCACAACGGTGTCTACCGCAACACAGTCTAGCACCACGTCCCGGAGCAGCACCACGGGAACAAGCACTAGCACGTGGTCAACCACTTCGGACTCGAGCAGTATCACGGGGTCCAGCACGTCGGAGTCTAGCAGCACGTCGCGGAGCAGCACTACGGAAACGAGCAGTACCACAGAGTCCACCACGACGGAATCGAGCACGACGTCTCGGACGAGCAGCACAGAAACGAGCAGCACCACGGTTTCCACCACAACACAGTCGAGCATGACGTCGCGGACCAGCACTACGGAAACGAGCAGCTCAACGAGGTCTTCCACTACAGTGTCGAGCACTACGTCGAGATCCAGCACTACAGAAACGAGCAGCTCAACGAGGTCTTTTACTACGGACACGAGCATCACATCACGGACCAGCACTACGGAAACAAGCAGCACCACAGGGTCCGCGACTACCAAGTCGAGCAGTGCCACGGTGTCCAGCACCACGGATTCGAGCACGACTTCGCGGACCAGTATTACGGAAACCAGCAGTACAACGGGATCCACCACTACGGCATCCAGCACCACGTCGCGGACAAGCACCACGGAAACGAGCAGCACCACGGTTTCCACAACGACGGCGTCGAGCACCACGTCCCGGACCAGCACTTCGGCAACGAGCAGCACTACGAGGTCGACTACCACGGAGTCCAGCACGACGTCGCAGACCAGCACTACGGAAACTAGCAGCACAACGGTGTCTACCGCAACACAGTCTAGCACCACGTCCCGGAGCAGCACCACGGGAACAAGCACTAGCACGTGGTCAACCACTTCGGACTCGAGCAGTATCACGGGGTCCAGCACGTCGGAGTCTAGCAGCACGTCGCGGAGCAGCACTACGGAAACCAG